ACATACTCCAGAGACGGGTGCTCTCGTGGCCTAGATGTTAAGGTGTTCGCCTCTCTTTCTAAGGTCTGGAGTTCGAATCCGGGTTGCGACGGAAGAATTTTCTTCTTTGAAATGGTCTCCTTTCACTTCCTTTCCTGCGCTCTTGCAATGTTCTGTCGTCTGCTTTCGTCTCCACTTTCTGCCCCCACCTCCTCACCTCCATTGGCCCCTCCCCTGAGCTCCTGACTCTTTCTGCAGCCTTTCTACTGCTACTCATGTTGTCTTTCTGCCATACCCCTGATCTTCTGGTAGGAAAGATCTACCCCTAGCCTTCTCGGACAAGGGCGAAAAAATTTCAGAGTTCCTGAGTGCAAGTTGCTCACGTTAAAGATCCCTTGAACTTGGAGTTCTAAAATCGATAAGAGTAGGCTTCGGCCGCCACCCAGGCAAAATTAAAAATTTCCTACCGACTGAAAAGGTTTAATGTGTCCCGCGCGTTCAAAGTATGACCTCTTGCAGATGAGAGCGCTGTAAAACATTTACCCCCCAAAGAATTAAAAAAATAAAAATATGGGTGGTTGGAGGGTGTTCTGGTTTGATTTGCCCCTTCTTCAATCAAACATCAAACTATCAAACATATAACGTTCTGATCTCTTCTCCTTAAAAAAATGTATTCGTTACTCCCTTGTAACCCATCAGATCTTCGGCACTTATATGACCGTATCGTGTTGCACGTGCAACAAACTAACTAAAGCTTAAGTTAGCTAAACCAACAAACATAATTTACATAACATTGAATATACAGTTTGTGTCACAATACAACTGGTATAATTATTATGAGCTACGTGTGTGCCTCACAATAAATAAAATGCGCGTTATGTAAACATGTACCAATACAACAGACCTGATCATGGTTAACAAATCATATAATTATATTACAATAAAACATGCATGATTTAAAAGCCGTCTCTTGTAGATGTATATAAAAATAGATTTTGTCTTCTTATGTCCACAGAACCAGCTGTTGGTACATGCCAGAGACCTTTAGAGATGCTCAACTCAAAATAATATGTTTGGATTTCATTTCTCCCTCAACTTAATTTCCTAATTATGTGCCTCAGCGCTAGTTACGAAATGGAAATGGAAATTGGTAAAATCACCCGAATTTCCGGTCGGGTAGCTTCTATGCAAGTGCGGTCCAAGATAATTAGCCTACTCACATCACTCCCTCCTGGTACGACGCAAAAAACATAACAAACAATAATCAAAATAACAAGAACACTAACAACAACCCC